GGCTGCCCCGGTATAGCCTCTTCCCCCGGGACAGCCACGGTCTGCCTGGAGGAGGGAAAGTCTCCACGTGTGCCCAGACCCCCTCTATCCCCAGCCGTGGTGCCAACAGGGTGTGGCAGTGTCCCAGCATAAATCCCATGCTGGGGCTCCTGCCCTTGCCAGGAGTGGGGGTATTCGCTGTGCTCCCCAGGGGCAGCATCCTGTGCTCAGCTCCTTTCCCACCCTGGTGCTTTACTTCCAACTTCCCCACACCCCAGGGGGCAAGTCACAGCCTGGCTGTCCCTACCACCTCCTTCCAGCGTGGAGAGCTGCTGCCTTGGCTGTCCCTTACCTCCATGGTATGTCCTGCCTGGTTGTGGTCATCTTCACCTACTTCCTGCTGAGGTCTGGCACAAATTCCAGAGCTATCTGAGGAAACCCCCATCTCTGCTGAAAGTTTTGACCACTTAGAATAGAAATCCCAGTGAAAACTCCCCAGCCACAGCGTCGGGCAGTGGGGAAGCAGCCGTCAGTGCCTGGTCATCCCCAGCCCGTGTCCTGCTGCTCACGTCTTGCATATCACACCCCTCATCCTGCATCCTGCAGCCTTCCTTCATTCTGCATCCTGTAGCCTGTAATCTGTGCTCTGCATACATCTACTTCATCCTGCATCCTTCCTCCTTCAGCCTGCGCCCTGCACCTTCGTTCTACATCCTGCAGCCTGTCCTGCGTCCCAGACCTTGCATGCCATAATTGCAGCTTGCATCCCACATGTCACAGCCTGCATCCTGCACCCTTCTTGGCCTACTTGGTTTATCGTGGTCTCCCTTGCAGTAACAGTCATGGAGGACCTGTTGGGCTCTGGTCACATCACCCAGCATGCCCCAGCTGTGTGTCTCCTGATGGACACTTGGAATGACCTGAGGATGGTTGGCACATCCACTTCCCCGTGGGACACTCTGAGGGTTGGGCCATGGGTTTGTGCATGTCCTCACGGCAGCTAGAGTTTGGGTGGCATGTCTTCTCCTCACTGGCCTGCTGGGACGGAGGGAGGAACAAGGGGATGGATGGGCTGTGGCCACAGGTGCTCACAGGCTGGAGACTCCGTACCCTTTGCCAGTTCCCTTTCCCCTGATCTTGCCCCCCTTTCCTGGGGCCATGGAGCTGGGGAACCTTTCTAGGGAGTTGAAGGGGACCAGGACAACAAGATGTTCCTTGTACCCCAGTGTGTCCCACAGGCCTGGGGAGGGCCAGTGCCAGCCCCGCCGGCAGCAATGCTGGAGGCTTCACATTCCTGGAACAATGAGTCAGTTCCCATGAGTCAAGGAGGCTGATCCTGGTGACAGCCACACTTTCCTCGGCTCTGCTGTGCCAAAGGAGAAAGTCACTTTCTCCAGCTGTCTCTGGCCCTTCTCTGCCCTGCTCAGTGCTGGCACTCAGGGCTGTCTCTGCCAGTACCTGTGGCTCTCTGTGCTTTCCAGAGGACCTGTCTCACCTTGCCTGCAGCATTCAGGTGGCTGCAAGGAGCCGCCAACAAGGTCCCCTCTGTACCCCTGCTGGGACACAGCATTAAAAGCACCTGAATTAAAATTAAAGGGTGCTGCCCTGCTGGGATGGGCACTCAGCAGGTCCCTTCATGTGTGCCCTGTCCCAGCCCAGGGCATCCCGTGCCCTTGCTTTCCAGGCACCCCATCCCTCACGGTCCCCTCTCCCTGCAGTGATGTGACGTTTGTGGTGGGCCCGGAGCAGCAGAAGGTGTTTGCTCACCGCTGTGTGCTGGCGTGCCGCTGTCAGGCTTTCCAGGGGATGCTCGCCCAGGTGCCAGTGGGCAACCAGGACTCCTCCAGCAGTGTCCCAGCCCAGGGCCCCTTCATCCTGGGCAACGTGCAGCCTGAGGTCTTCCTGGCTGTCATCGAGTTCCTCTACACCAACAGTGTCACCCTCAACAACCACATCGTGAGTGGGGATGGGGCTGGTGGGGACTGTGGGCACGGGAGGGACAACGGGAGGATGCAGGAGTAGGGGGTGCTTTGCAGATCTTGGTGTGCCAAAGTTGGAGGATGTTCTGCATGGTACTTTCTGGCTGGCTAGCAGTGCAATGAGTGTGTGAGGTCTCAGCCCAGCAGAGTGGGGTGTCCAGAGCACCTTGTCCCAGCCTTGGAACAGCTGGCTGTGCACAGCCTGGATGCTGGGAGTGGGGACACTACAGCAGGAGACTTAAATTTGCCTGCATGTGGCAGCCTTACCCCCCATGCCCCACCTGGGAGCTCCCATGGGGGCAGGAGCACACAAACCCTTGGGTTGCTGTGCCCATTCATGGCCCTGCATGCTGATTCTCACAAGATCCTTTTGCCTGCAGGCACTGGAGGTGCTGACCTCATCGGTGGAATATGGCTTGCAGGACCTGTGCAAGGTACAGCCCTGTTTAGAGTGGGGGTGGTGGTGTCTGAGTGTCCCCGTGCTGGGGAGCACCCCAGGATGGTCCCTGCATGGCTGGTGGCTGGAGGTGGCTCTGAGGAAAGCACTGTGGTGCATCACTCAGGTCCAATGCAGGCTCAGTCCTGCTTTTTGATCCTGGAAGGGGATCCCCCTTGAGGGGGTGCACCACTGTCCAGAAATCCCGCAGGGGAATCCTGGGAAATCATGGGGAAGACTGTGGGGTTTCACATCTCCCACACAGCAAAGGGCAGCAGGAAAGCCCCTGTGCCGTTGCCCACGATTTCTCTCTGGTCATCTGACAGAGTGATGCAGTAAAGAAAGCCCCGACCCTTGGGAGCAGTCAGCACCCCGGCTGTGGTGCTGCCAGGGGGATGCTGCTTTGGGTGGGAAAGTTCTGGGAGGACAGCAGGGAGCAAAGAGGAGGGGTGTGAGCCGGATGAGGAGGGGGCAGGGAGCTGGAGCAGCTCGGTGTAGGGGAGGGTGGCCAGGCCACGTCATCAGGCTGATTCCTGAATTACAGCGGGCTGAACGCGTGACCTGCTGCCTCAGGCCAGGACTTCCCCTCCCTTCCCACCACGCTGTGGAAGGACCTCAGGAGCTTAGGAACTGCGGGCTGCTGTGTGCCAGGGTGGTGGGATGGGACCTGCCCCATCGCCCTGTGGGGGCAAAGTTCCGATGTGGCACGGAGCTGTCAAACAGCTTAAGGGGTGTTGAAAAAAAGGGGGACCCAGTGCTCCAGCCACACAATTCACACCCCATCACCCAGCAAATGCATCCTCAGGGGGGATGACCTGCAGTGGGGAGAGCCATGAGGAGGGGAAAGGGGGCTGACCAAGGACAGCTGGGGAAGCCCGTGACTGTGTCTCTAGATGCAGGATGACATCATGTCCCTCCTGCCAATGACTCAGGGCCCTTCTGCCCCAGCTGACTTCTCCCTCCATGTGACATCCCCTTGGGTTTCCCAGGGACTCTCTCTACCAGGCAGCTGAGATGGGCAGGAGTGAGGTCCCACTTGCTGGTAAATGTGCAGGTCTGGCTGCATCCAACCTGCATCACTCATGTGGAATACCGGAGGAGTCCCCCAGGAGTCACAGGCAGAGCACAGCTGACAGGCAGGGCTGAGTTAAAGCTGGGAACACCTAATGCACTGCATCTGGCACCAGGATTGTCCCCTGTGACAGAACATGACTGCTGTTTGTCGACAGGGTGATGGGACCCACCTGGGGCTATCAGGTTGGCTGGGTTTGGTCAAATCAAGCTTGGTCCTGGCTTAATCAGTGGCCGAGTTGTCTGCCCACAGCCATGCTGCAAGACCTCATCCCACAGCCTACTGCTATCTTATGAAACCCTGGGGGGGCTGGAAGTGCCTCTGCCCCATGTCCCATGTCCTGAGGACTCATGGGATGCTGAGAGTTGCACGTGGGGATGGCAGGGTTGGGTCCCTGCTCTGCCAACCCTTTCCCTGTCTGCCTTCCAGCTCTGCGTCAGGTTCATCAAGGACACTCTGAGCGTGGAGCAGGTCTGCGAGGCCCTGCAGGTAAGAGTGACACCAGTAGTGTCAAAAAAGCTTAAAAATAACCATAGAATTTGAGGCAGGAGCAGGCCTGACCCTCCTGCTGTTGGCTGGATGGTGGCTGTCTCCCCAGCTTTGGCCCATAAGCTGCCCTGCCAGCTCTCAGGCACATTTTACCAGGGCTACAAGAGACACTGGGGCCACCAGAGCCTGTCAGAGAAATGTCCTCACACTGCCCTGAGCAGGGCTGGCCAGAACTGCCCAGTGCCAGGGCCTTGCCATCATCTGCATGAAATGGGGAGTCACTGGGTTTCTGGGAGCCACTCCCAAAACCCCTACTGAGAGTTGGGGCACCTAAAAACAGCCTTAGGGAGGTCCTAATGGCTCTGCCATGCTCCTTGGTAGGACCAAGGCTGTTCCCCAGAAAAAGGGGATTTGTTTCATCTCCCACAAGCTGAAGGGATCCTCTTGGAGTGAGGTGCCTGCCCCAGAGCACAGAGCTCCAGCCAGATGTGACGCCAGACCACCGTGGCATAAACAGAGCTAAAACTGGCCTGGAGGAAACAAAACAAGAAACCCCAAAACCCCAGAACAAAACAAACCTGAAAAAACCAGCTCATCTTCCATCTCCACTTGCGTCAGTGCTGGTCCCCTGCTGTGGTGGAGGGGGAGGTGATGTTCACCCTGCCTGTGCTGGTCCCAAATACCCTGCACACAGGGGCTGCCACCACGGGGGGACGGGGACATGCCCTCCTGGTGCCCAGGGCAGTGCCAGCCCTGGGACAAGCATTGCTCAGTAGGGCTGGGGGAAATGAGAGCACCCCAAATTCCTGCTGCAGTGGGGGATGGCAGCTATGGGTCAGGCTGGAGCTGGCACCAGGGCATAGGGCACTTGTGGGGGGGCTTTAAGCTGGCCCTGTGCCCGCACAAGGAGCACTGGGGACTGGTGGTCCCACGTGCCCACAGAGTGACCTTGTGAGAGAAACACCAGGGCTTCTCCCCCACTGTGGGCTGGGTGATCTTTCTGAGCAGCAGTGGAAAATAACGTCTGATGGTGAGGCTGGATGACCAAAAAAACCCTTTGTCTTGGGGCAGGCCAGAAGGTCCCCTTCCTCCCCACACCCTCACCATGGTACCCACACACAGGGATGTTCACCTCACCTGGGTCCCTGAGAGTGCCCATGTCTGTGTAGGGCTTTGATGGGGGGTCCCTCCTGCCCCAGACCCCAGACTTGCAGGTGTCTGTGTTGTCCCACAGGCTGCGGTGGCCTATGGGCAGACAGACCTCCAGCAGCACTGCCTGGCCTTCATCGAGGGCTGCACTGCGGTACGGCACCAGGTGATGGGGGAGCATGGTGCAGGGTACCCCAGGGCTTGGGGGGCACCTGGCATGGGGAACATTGTGGGTCACAGCATGAGGCAAGGGAGCTGGGCCCCTAAGAATGGGGTGCCTGGAGGATGAGAAAAGGAGCAAATGGTATTTGGAGAGAAGATGCTGGGTGTCAGGCAGAGGCAGGCTGGGGGTACTGGGGTGCCAGAGGATTGAGGTCTGGGGGGGGGGAGATGCTGGGGTGCCAGGCAGGGATGGCACCAGGATGGGTCGGATGGCTCATTGCCGGGGTGGTGGTTGTGTGGGGTCGTGGTTCCAGTGCCCTGGTGCTGTGCTGTGCTGGCAGGCAGTGGTGCAGACACAGGGCTTCCGTGAGCTCTCGGATGTGGTGCTGGCGCGGGTGCTGCGCAGCGACCGCCTGGCCGTGGATGAGCTGGACCTGGTGCAGGCTGTGCGGGAGTGGGCACACGTCAGCTCGGTGAGTGTAACGCAGCAGCAACCACCCAGGGGTGCCCACGCTGGGAACCCAGGCACCCTGTCCCAGGGCTGTGTGATGGACACAGGAGCTGTGTCACTGCCCCTAAGCCTCTGCCTTCCCCAGTGCCCAGGGCATCACCAGCCCTATCCCTCACACACTGCTGTTGTCAGGCTGTCCTGGAGCGGCCGGTGCCTGAGGTGGCTGCTCTGCCCGTGCGGGAGCTGCGCCTGCCCTTGCTGGCACCCAGCGAACTGGTGACACTGGAGAGCCACAACCAGCGGGATCTGCTCATCCCGGTGAGCTGCTGCCAGTTCTTGGGGTATCCTGGCTCAACTCGAGGGCTGGAGGACGCTGCAGGGCGGGGTTTGGGTTTTAACGCCCCCATTCCTCTCCCCATCCCCACAGGTGGAGAGCATCGCAGCGGCCTGGCGTGCCCACGCTCTGAGAAAGGGCAGTGGGGTGCCCTCCCGCCTCTGCCGGCCCCGCCGCGGCACACGGCCCCGTGACCATCACCGGCACCTCGAGCCACACACCAAGTAGGGGCTGGGCAACGAGTTTTGTCCAGCCCAGCCAGGGGCTCTGCAGCAGGGCAGGCTGTGGGGCTGGCACTGATGCTGCCACGGCTGGGAGCATCGATAAGGTGCTTTGTCCTATGCCACGGTGTCAGGGCCAGGGCAGGATGCCAAGGTCACCCCAAAAAGGGATGCAGGGACTGGGGGCAGGGTAGAGCTGGGCTATGGGATGGGTACGAGGGCACGGCAGGCAGCCCATACAGTGGCCGAGGGGTGGCAGGGCTGCAGGGGTCCCTGCGGGATGGGGACACAGGATGAGCTCTCCCTTCCCCGGGGCCGTGCTGCCCTCCCACGGCAGCGGGGCCATGGTGCAGCGGGAGAGCTCCAGCACCTGCCCGGGCAGGGACACGGACCCCCGGGGGCTTGGGAGGGGGACAAGTGGGAAAGGCGGCACGGGCATCTCTGCACAACACCACAGGCTC